CCTAGCCAATAGGGAGTTCCACGCAAACACACACTTGACATTGGTACCCCATAGAAACCATCAAAGGTAGTAACTTTGAGTATTATTAATTTTTTAGAGTTTATGGTTTTTGGTAGTAACGTACTCAAATTTTGTTTTTGTTGGGTTTTTGTTTCTTGAAATGTAAAAAAAAAAGAGAAAAGATTTCATTTGAATCAAACAAACAAAAAAGTTTAGTATGAGATTAACACTGTGATTCACAGATGATGCGATCTCCCCACGATGCCAAATTACACCAAATTACAAAGAATTGTTTGCATCCGACTGATTTCGAACTCTAAACCCTAATTATTTTCTTGGGTTTTACGTTAAAAGGAAAAAAAATGAAAAGAAAAATTAATATTCAAAGGATTGAAACCAAACAAAACTTAATTTTATGGATCAGATGACGACGTCTGAGTAGCAAAGCCAGGATTAGTATTAGTATTAGTCTTATCAACGACCTCTATAGGCTTAGCTAAGAACTCAAGTGCTGTGACCACGTCTCCCATCAATGGCCTAGTCTCTGCTTCTTCTTGCAAACACATCGCTGCAATCGCTAAAGCTTGATGCAACCCTTTTATTGGGTAATTACCTTCTAGATTTGGATCCACAATTTTTGTAAACATCCTTCTATCTCTCAACAACGGTTCTGCCTGCAAAAAAAGAGGACTTTAATCGGTTCCTTCCTTCTCAAGCAACAACTAAAACATGTTAATAAGACTTTTGATTGATGAAGTACCCAAGAGATCAAGTTTTGTTCTTCGGTTGGTCTATCGCCATCAATAGTTCGTCTTCCGGAAATTATCTCAAGGAGGACTACGCCGAAGCTGTAGACATCGGATTTAGCCGTGAGTTGACCTGTCATCGCATATTCAGGAGCACAGTATCCGTATGTTCCCATGACTCTAGTGGACACATGATCTTTTCCTTCAGTTGGTCCAAGCCTAGCTAAACCAAAATCTGATAGCTTTGAGTTAAAATCCGATTGTAACAATATGTTTGAAGCTTTGAGATCGCGGTAGATCACAGGAGGATCTGCGTAGTCGTGCAAATACTCTAGCCCTTTAGCTGCACCGTGCACTATCCGCATTCTCGTGAACCAGTCTAGACTTGGTGCCCCTACTGGTAAGTCTATGTAGTGAAGAAAAGATTAAAACTTTAGATTACAATGCAAAAGCTTGATGATGTTAATATGAGAAAAGTCACAGCTTATACCGAACAAATGATCTTCCAAAGATCCGTTGGGCATGTATTCGTAAACGAGGACCCGTTGCTCGTCTTCTACACAATAGCCAATGAGGTTGACAAGGTTTGGATGTTGAGCAAGACTCAATACCATCACTTCCGCAAAGAACTCCCTTGTTCCTTGCAACCCATTTCTGTCAAGCCTCTTTACAGCCACCACCTAAACTTCTTATCATCCAATCAAACAAAAATTAGCAACTTTTCGCCAAATCGGCATACATACTTAAGATAATTGATAAATGGAAAAAGGACCTGATTGACGCTGCTAAGGAATCCTTTGTAAACTCTTCCGAAACCGCCTTCTCCGATCATACAATCCATACTGAAATTTTCCGTTGCAGCTATTAGTTCCTTGAATTTGAAGATTCTGCCACAGTTCTTGACGTTCCCATACTTCTTTATCTCGTCCGTTATATACTTTTGCCTGCAGCTTCCTGCATTTATCATCGAACATGTCAGAAGCTTAATAACGATCATATTTTGAGAAGATTGAGAAGAGACAACGTTTATGATGACTACCTTTTCGACGTGAACGAAATGTGAAGATAGCAAAAAGTTTACGGCTATGACCTCTATAAGCTGTAAGACCTTCATCAAATGAATCTCTAGGCGAATTAGGTCCAAGATGTTGTGGATTGATGAAACAAGGACAAAGCTTCATCATATTATTATTATCTTTCTCCTTTCTTTTTCTTTTTCTTTTGTGTTCTTGATCTTCAGACAAAAACAAATCCTTTGAAATGAATCCCCCCAAGGAAAGATTCGATCTTGTCTCTCTACTGATCCTTTCAGATCCAAACCCTGTCAGGGCAATACGAATCTGAAAGAAAGATCAGATCTTTCCTAGGAAAATGATGTAGCATGACAGGAGAATTTGTGGGAGGATCACAAAGTTTTGCTGTCTCTTGTTATATATGAATGTTCCCATCTTTGGTTCTCTCAAATTTGGATAAATGGATTATTCTTATTTTTAGTGGTTCGTTTATTTGGAATCAGCCAACGCGTCTATCTCACTTTCAACAAACTTCAAATCAAATCTTACTCAAAACACAAGAGTTCGTGGTAAGCATGTAACTTCTATATATTTATACATAGTCATCATACTATATAATATAAACATAGGACGACACTAAACACATATAATATATATATATACGATTGAGTGTCGATCATTATAAGACAGGCTAAAATTGCTTCAACGCTTTGACCAATCTTACAGATAAAATGTTTGAGATCTTCCGAAACCAAAACTAACAAGACAAACCTATGAACTAAGTTCACGACTTGTCCTTGAATATGACTTGCCTTTTAACATAGTCCAGAATTTATCTATAGATACCATGATGATCAAAAAGATTACTATCCTCTAAGAAGCTAGGAACTTATTTCATTGCTGACAAATGAAAGAGAGAAAATTTGTAAAATTTGGAAGTACCAATCTCCGAACGGTCAAACCCGTAAATATCCTTTGATTCATTGAGGCAATGCAGCTTCGACTTCATTCCACAACTCGGTGTTTCTAGTGAACTTCTCTTTTACTTGCGCAATGAGTTCCTTTGCTTCGTCGACTTTCGAATCCTTAGCCAGTCCGTTAACGAGCGACTTCATGATACTAAAACTAGGAACCCAATTCTTCTCCATACTCTCTTTACAAAGACTCAAAGCTGCCTCAAAGTCACCTCCTTTGCACAAGTAATATATGAGAGTGAAGTAACACTCACTATCAGGCTTACATCCTCTGTTCACCATAACCTTAAACAACTTCTTCGCCTCCTCCAAATCATCTTCGTTGCAAAACCCACGAATCAAATGGCTATAAGTCACTGTATTCGGCTTCATCCCTGCAGACAACATCCCATCAAGCAAAGCCTTTGCTTCCTTAGATTTCTTCCTCTTACACAAACTCTGAATCCTAATGTTGTAAGTCGAAACACCGGTATTAACACCACGCTCTTTCATCATAGCCAACACTTTCCCAACATCATCATTCTTATCCTCAGCATAAAACCCAGAAATCATAAGCCCGAAGCTAGAACTATTCGGCTTTATCCCTTTCCTCTCCATCTCCGCAACAATGGAGTAAGCCGAACTCGCTGAACCAGATTCACAGAACACTTTGATCATACGGTTATAAGTCTCGAGATCAGGTTCAATCCCATACATCTTAGGCATCTCAATATAAACTCGTTTCGCTTCTTTATAATCCTTAGCTACTAAACAAGCAAAGAGAAGAGCGTTTAAAGACTTAACCGTACGAGGGATTTCGTATTTCTCAAGATCACGAAAGATCCTTAAAGAGTGATCAAGCATATTAGCTTGAGCATACAGAACAATGGCGTGAGCAGCGAAACGCTCCGATTTGAGATCCGGTCTGTTTTCGATGAATCCATCGAGGAGATTCGAGACAGCGGTGAAATGTTTCTTCTCGGCGAGATTCTCGACGGCGGCGGAGAAAGCGATTCGATCAATGTGACAATCTGGAGTAAGCGAAGCTGCACGGCAGATCTCGAGGATACGATCTGGGTCTTTCTCGGATTTGAGAAGAGAGAGAGCTGCTCTGCTTTTCTCTCTGCTGGTGAGGGGAGTTTTCGAATCTGGTGAGAGGATTGTTGAAGCGGAGGAGAGTGATCGGATTTGAGGGGATGCGTTGAGGTGACGGAAGAGAGATGTTGATGAACGGATTCGAGAGAGTAACGCCATTGTTGTTGTTCTCAGGGTTTTTAGTTGTTGAAGAAGAAGAAGAAGACTGTGAAATGGAGAAGAAGACGGAGATTGAAGAATTAGTGATTTTAGGGTTTTTGAGTTTGTGTGAATCTAATCATAGCCGTTGATGGTTTTTTGAAAAGTCATTATAATGTACGGTTGAGATGAGTTTGTGATGGAAATTAAAAATAAAAAGTGGAGGATCCGACTAAACCGGGGGATTGAACCCGACGTGAATCGAACACGCAACCTTCTGATCTGGAGTCAGACGCGCTACCATTGCGCCACGGATCCGGTGAACATTAGTCTCTCAAACATATTTATATTCGAAAGTGAAATCTCTATAAAAAGTAATTACAGCATAGTAGTTATCAATGTATATTTAAATCGTTAATAAATCTAAATTTTTTAAAAACAAAAAAATCAATAATAAAAAGTAAGATAAAAACGTAAAATTAATAACCTAGTTAGAAAAGTAAAATTAAAAATTATATTGAAAAAAGTGAGATAAGAACTCAAAATTTGAAGAGCATACACAAAAATATTTTCTTTATTATTGTAGATTATTTTAGTCATTATCAAAGAACAAAATTGTCGTTTAAAATCACTGAATAGTTTTTAAAAAAATTGGATGTGCATGATATGATTTGTGTAAACAGTTCACTAAATAACAAGAGGTTGGAAATGATTTTGAATGGAAATATTTCAAGTCGAAATTTATTTAGTATTTCAACATTATACTCTTTCACGTAATTTTGAAGAATTTTTTTGATATTCAAGTTCGAGATTTTAGAAATGCAATTCATCTCTTAATTAATTTATAGCTATTTAAGCACAAATTTTCTTGTTAATGAACATTCAGATTATCTTATTTTTTTACTAATAGTGTAAATATTCATTAAGAATGGATTCAAAGAAAAGTTCTTACAAACATGGATTTTAAACTTATAAAACTTTCAAATTATCATGCACACCCGAAAGAAAACAATCTAAAAAACATTATTTTGTGTATGTTCTTGTTGTACAATGTCTTCTAATAAAGAAACAAACCGTGTATCAATTATAATCCTTAAGTAAACCTCTATTAAACAGCAATGGCATATTAGCATTATTTTATAACGGAAGCAACAACACAAGATAGACAAAAGTGGGGAAGTTGATCATCAACGAAGGCATGAGAACAATATGTTTAAGTGACTTTGTTTCTTCAGATTTTCTTGAGAAATTCAATGATATGAATACCAAAAGCATTGCAGACAACTTTAATGCCATGAAAACCGGACCCTTTAGCAAGTACCTCGAACTCTTTCTCAGTCCGTTCTATGCCTTCGCGACTGTGTGCCAACATTATGCAGTCTACATGGAGTGCTTGTTTGGTCATAAGGCTTGAGTCTAGAGTCTCTGGAAGTACACACTCAGCTACTATCACTTTCCCATTCTCTGGAAGCGCGTCGTAACAGTTCTTCAAGAATTTAAGACATTGTTCGTCGCTCTTGGCGTGACATATCCACTGTTACATACAATGAGTTAAAGGAAGGAACATGTTTTGAGATTTCACATTTCTGAACTTATGCTCTCAACTCTTGAAAACCTAGTAAATTACTAACCTTCATGAACATGGCATCACCTTTGGGGACACTTACAAACATATCTCCTCCAACATGCTCAATCCCTGCATTGTTTAGTAATAAGACTTTATCTCAATAAGATCTTGAACAAACATACGATGTAAGAATATCGGGTTTTTCGAAATGCTGGGAAAATGTAGACAAACCAGGAGAACGAGGAGCGTCTTTGGTTACATGGGGAAGATCAAAGTTGATGCCTTTAAGATTGGGGTATTTGGAGATAATCATTTTGAGAGTAGCACCAGTCCCACCACCAACATCAACCAGAGAGGTCAAGCCATCAAAACCTTTATAGGTCTCTAGAATCTTCTTCATAGATAGTGTGGAATGGTTTGACATTCCATCTTTCAAGACTTTGTTGAATCTAGTGTCCGTCCTTTGGTACTCTAACACGCTCATGCCATAAACCTTGTTGAATGGTGTTTCCCCACCAAGAATTGCATCCTTCAAATGGTACCTGCAAGTATATTTGACATGAGACGATTCCATTATAGAAAATCCTTCTCATATGATAATTCTTCAAAATTCTTCTAGCTCTCTCTATCTCTCTCCACATATATATCTTTTACCATTGCAATTGCATTTGACATCAATCAAGAGATATAATTCTGACTTGATTAAGTACAAGATGTCCTAAAATAAGAACTCATATGATGATTTCAGAATTATATACCAGCTTTCCATGAAGACCTTGTCTTGGTTCATGAGACAAAGAGGAGCAACGGAGACGCTGTCTTCGTTCTTGGTCAAGTACTTGCAAACCGGACCAAGCCCGTAAAGCCGCTCCACCCCATGGCCGCCTGGAATAGTACAGACGGAGCAGGTTAGGATGGAGTAAGACGCAAGAAGCCGAAGGACACGGTCGAGTAAGAGTGGAGCTTCCGGGTTTTTGGTCGGGAGATGGGAAGTGATCTCAGCCGGAGACATAGGAGAAACGTTTTTGGCCATGATCTCGAGAAGGTCGAGCTCTAAAGCTGCTTGTAAAACCATTGGAAGAACGGAGCAGCTGGCTAGCTGCATGGCGAAGAGGTTAGCTTCGTCGTCGGTGACTTGCACCGGATTTGTCTTTGTCTCTGGCGTTGAGCCCATTTTTTCTTGAGTTTTGAGTTTCTCTGTGTTTGTAAATGTGTGATGCTTAAAAACTTATCCTGTCTCAATCCTCTAAGCTCTATCCCCTCCCTATGGAAGGTCTTCTGTCTCGTCTTATTCCTCGTATTCATATGTGTCCATCTGTTTCAAGAGTGAGACAAATTTCATACGTAATAAAAATTTGGTTTTCTTTCTTTTCTTATATTTTATACAATATCTAGTCCCCAATTTTAGTTAGTTTTTCTTCTTTACATAATGAGAATTGTTGCTTTTTCCACACAAAAAGACAAGAAAAATAATAAAGAGAATAGATGCTAAAATGATAAATTAGTAAGCTTGTTGAAATTTTTTTTGTTATTATTTGTTGATTGCTTTGCAGACAAGTTTTTGGATCTAATTTTGTTTATTGCTTGATATTATGATTTGGTTTACCGATGTTAAGAAAAACGTATCATATTAGATGGAGTCCAAACATTGACTTCATCTCATATGATGTCTTTTTGAATCAAAATTATGTATCTATTTTCTTATATATCTAGATTTAATCGGTATATAAACTAAATCGGATAAAAACCACACAAATATAATATAACTGAATTAAAGTCAGATTGACCTAAACCCGACCTGTAACTGTTTGAGTTTCTTCTTCTACCTCATCCAAACCATGAAAATCATGCATTTTGTACTTCAAATTAGCTAACAATGTACATCGATGGAAATAATTAAAGTCGTTTGACTTTCTTAAGCCAAAGACACATCACTAACAACTTTATAAAGAGAAAATTACATTTGCGAAGTAACCTTTACAAATTTGTTTGTCTAAAATCGAAGAAGATAAATGGGTGGTGATACATATACCAATAAGTGATTTGAGAATAATGAGAAATAAGCTTGGCCCAATGAGCCTTAGCAATCTCCTTCAAATGTTTTGATTTCTCAGCTTCCACCTGAATAGGCCGAACACGAACAACCAAAAGATATGAGCAAACATTTGACGAAGATACTGCCAGTTCCACCGCAACCTACACTCAAAAAAACTCAAAAAATCAACACAAATCCAAAAAAAAAAAAAATTAAGTCAAAAACTCATATTTAAAATCCATAAATCATCAAATCTACCCTAGCTTCATCCATTAGAACTTTAAATTACTCAAAAAGATATGAGGAGGAAGTAATTGGTTCCATCTGATACGATGCAATAGTTCTAGTGAAAAATTTCCTTTTGAAAGTTCTTTTTACTTTTCTTTGTTAGTCTTTCGCATTTTTTATTTGATTAATACATAAAACATCTTTATAGAAAAAAATTTCTATTAAAATAAATCCCACATATACCACGGCCTAGGTCAATTTTATCGTGAACGCGCGATCTAAAATTTGGCAGATTACCTTATATTAAATCTGGCTTGCTTTTGGATGGGTGTAAATAAATTTGGTGTTTTCTGTTTACCTTGTATTGATAAGTTATTTACAAAAACTAATGTTTGTTTGTTGCTAATGTATCTATTGTTTTGTAGATGATGACTATACGAACAGATTCATTGACTGGACCACTGCCTGTTGGTCCTTACAGCTAACAGTTACATGTTTATTATCGTCGAATCCAATAATGCGTGCATGACTCAGTTTGTCTTGTGAGAAGAACTCTTATCTCTTTGATGATAAAAGATATATTCACTCTTACGTACACTAAATCACTGATTACAAACTTTTGCTTTTCAACTCCCACAACAACACTCAAATTTACGAATCATGCAATCAACAAAGCGACGACATACATTTATTCAATCGAAAAACGAGAGTTTAACAATTGAATCTGCATCTTCAATGTTTTGGGGTAAAACAAAACTTTTGATTTCAATTTGACCTCAAAACTCCCAAAAAAAAATAATATAAAAATAAAAGTATAAATAAATCATTGCTTCAAAAGTGGCTCACGGCTCTCTTCCCACTGGTCCAATCTGCTCGAAGCTTTCGCAACCTAATCATATAAAAACCATTTAACAAAATGATTCAATGAATCCTTCCATAATCATATAAAGATTTGTGCTTAAACACTTTTCATTATAAAACATAAAAGTGTTTTAATAATTTCTAAGTTTTCAGCTACCTCTTTGTCCCAGTCTGTTCGGAAAGTGACAATAACTAAGATTATCGTTTGCATCAATGTACCACCAATCATCCCTGTCCATATACCCTGCATCGTATCATATAACATGCACATTAAATATTACATCTCTTTAATAAAATTTAATACAGTATGTAACAGTTCTTGTAAACCAAATTTATTACTACTAGTACCTTAGCTCCCATATCATAAGTGAAACCAAGAACGAAGCCTACTGGTATCCCCACAACGTAGTAACACCCAATGTTTACGTACGCCACAAATGCTTGCCATCCACATCCAACCGCAACACCTAAATATATTTGTACATAAAACATTAAATTGAATTTTGTTGATTAAGAGTTTTTACTATATAGTTTCGATGTGAAAAAATGTGTACCTGACAGAACAGGCTGAATCCCATTGAGGACAATTGTGACGGCTAAAAAGGGAGATAAATCCGCAACGGCCTCGGCCACTGCTGGACTATCTGTAAACGCATAGCTGATGACATGTCGCCACGATAAGACCACGATGGCTTCGAAAATCGCGAGCAAGAAAGATACGCCCGTCGTAACGACTGTGGAAAACCCGGCTGCTCTCGGGTTTCCGGCTCCTAGTTCATTGCTTACTCTCACACTATACATAAATTGGAAAGCAAAATAATAACATTGTTATAATTAGTAACCAAGTAGTCTCATTTTAACTTTGGGGGTAAATAAACCTAGTTTTGGTACCAACCTTGCAGCTGCGTTGAATCCAACAGACACCATGAACGAGATCGCAGAAATTGACATGCTGCAAAAAAAACAAACACAAGGAAGAACCAAATAAGTGTTTTGATAATTGGTATGTGTAAGTGTATGCCGTTTTGGCTAATTGGAAACGACACGCAGTCAAAACTCTAAAGAAACACCAAAGTGAAGACAACAACACTTAAGAGATCTTCTACTGAATAAGAAAAGGACATGTCGAGGTGAGGACTGTGGACTAAGACATAGGAGTCGTCGTTTTCAACTCTTTAGAAAGAAAGATATCATAAAGCAATTTAATTACTTGACCACTATACAATAATTACATTTTATGTCAGACCATAACGCGACAACTTATTTGTCCCCATGTTCACATTAATACAACAAACATGAAAAAATAGACAAATTTACAGCTAATTTTCGTGGATAATTTTTACTACTACATTTTAAACTTATTATAAAAAAATGTTGTTAAGTCAAAAGGTAAAAAATAAAATTGTTTTTAATAAAAAAAAGTTAACTATAATAAATTAAATCTTTGATAAAAAATAAATAAATCTAAATAACTTTAAATAAATAAAAAATAATAATAACTTTAAATAATTAACCACTACAATAATTAAATTTGTACCATCTTAATACGACAAACTATAGTATAATTTTTTGTTAAAGATGCGACAAATTAAAATTGTCTTTATCGTAAATTGTATTAAAAAAAAAATCTACTGAAAGTAATCCTAAATAGAGTCGAGAATCTAATAAAATTAATTTAAGAAATCCAACTTTAAGACTTTAACAGCAATAATTAGTGCTAAATTTCGTGGACACTTCCACTAGATTCTCAACTTTATTTCAAAAAAAAAAATTAAGTTTTCTTTTTAAAAGTTATGTCCTATCATGTTACGTCTCGAAAAGTAAGAAATATATATACTTTTTAAATCCAAACATTATAATTAAAAAAAATTGAACTAAAAATGGAAATAAATCGTAAAAAAAAAAAAAAAAAAAAGACTTTTGCAGCAAATTTTAATGCTAAATTTTCGTGGACACTTTCACAAGATTTTTAAGACGTTACTCAAATCAATTTTCAACTTTTTAGCAATTTATAATTTCCTATATTGGTTACGTCTCAGAAAGAGTAAGAAATCAAATTGTTAGTAATAAAAAAAAAAGGTATTCAAAAAAGTTGAAAATTATTACCAGATAGCGAGAGAATCCAAAGCAAGTTCAGGGTTCTTGAGAAGTCCGGCGAGCAAAACAAGAATCTGAGAGTACCAAGATTCAAGACAAAGCATGACGGCTGAAGCTGCCGATAACTTGAAAAAATCCCAAAGACCTTCAAAAGCTTTCCAACTAAAACCTTCCCAAGTCCGACGACACCTCGGACTCATTTTAATATAAACAATCTGAGCCACCACTATGATCCACCACGACAAGCTATGGATCAAAGACAAAGCCAAGAGACCGTAACCAAGACGGTACACAGCGATCCAAGAAAGAGCAAGATGGATCACTAGCGTTGCGGCTGAGATGTAAGCACTTGGAGTGACGATACTTTGCGACTGGAGAAACTTCTGGATTGGGAAGTTGACTGCGTAGGCAAAGATCACAGGGATCATACCGTAGACGAATACTGAAGCCAGTGATGCGACTTGTTCCGGCTCTCCTAGTGAAGTCAGGATCGGATTCGAGAAGAAGAAGAGAAGTGACATTGGTAAACATGTTATGATTAGAACCAATGTTGATCTTTGAAGGTAAACTCCAAGCATTTCGTATCTATGTGCTCCATGTGCTTGACCACATAACGTCTCTACTGCACTTCCCATTCCAAGCTATTTATAAAATACATACAAAAATCAAGGAAAAAATAGATTAGATTCATAGGATTTTAATTTAAATTTCAAGAAATTTCAAGAAATTTTCAAAGTTTTTCAAAATACATTTCTATATAATTTTCGATAAAAGATAGTAGTACACAATATGGTTTTGGATACCGGTAATTTTTATCGTTTTTTCATTTATTTATTTTCATTTTTCGCCATACACTTTTAACCAATCATATTCTTGAAAAAGATAGTCATAAAAATAGCGGTACAAAAAAATATAGCGATGAAAAACAGCGGTATGATCAAACATAACAGTAT